GAACTGCTCTCTCCAGGCTCCCTGGCAGCCATGTGCTTGTGTGTGCATGCATGTGCACATAGTGCCCCCAGCCTGACAGCTTTTTCCCGCTCCCCCCAGCCCCCTTGCAGGCTGGAGCTCTGCCAGCCTGCACAGAGTTCCTTGCAAAAGTGGCAAATCCGTGCATCTCTCCATTAAAATTAAAAATCTGCAGTTAACAGGAAAAATTCAGAGTTTTTTTTTCCATTTTTCCCTGGGGAACAGAAAACCCAGATTCCTGGCTCATAAGATATGAACCCAATTGATCTAAGTTTAATATACAAATGTTTCTGTTTAGTTAAACCCTGTGGTGTCAGGCCCTCACCTGGTATTAGTCAAGGCAGCTGTACTGAAATCAGTGGAGTTAGAGATGTAGATCAACTGAGCCTATGACTTGCTCTCTCCACCAGAACCGGACGGGAAAAATCCTCTCACTGAACAGAAATCAACAGTAGTGCCCCCTTTTGAGCATAAGGATCATTCTCATGCTCTCTCTTACATTGAGACATTTTGGGATTTGGAAAGGCAAGTCAGCCTTAAGTTAATATATTAAAGGGAAGACAAAGTAGTAGGCAAAGGTCCAACTCAAATTATTAATTGCAGAAAAACTGGTGGGGTGAGAGTGATAAACAGTAGGAAACCAGGCCAAGATGGCTACAGGGAAATTTGTCATCAGGGAATTTTCTAGATTTTATCCATTATCAAAATTCAGAAAAGAGGGAATGATTCTCCAGACTCTCATACATGCATATTTTAGGGCCAGCTCCAGGAGTTCTGCTTTTCTAGATGAATAAGCAAATAGCCAAACTTAGTATCCCACAGTTACTGAGTGGTTTGCTGTTCCTAATATTTTATACTACTTATTTTATTTGTTAAAGATTTTAAGGTTTTCAATCTCTCCCCAAAATACAATAAATAGAAAATTACATTTCAAAAACAGTTCCAGCTGGTTCAGCTTGTGTTATCTAAACATCCCAAACCAGCACCTGCCCCTCACTCTAGTCAGGAAAAACCTGGGAACACAAAGATGCAGCCTGAAAGTTTTAGCATGAAATCAGACGTTACAATTAAACATTGTTAAGGGCACTTAAACCATGAAGGATTACACAGTCATGCTCATTAGCAACTGCTAAGTGCCTTCTAAGTGTCTTAACCCTTACCTCAAATAGCATAATTTTATCATTGTGCTGTGCTAACCAATCTGACTTAGTCTAACTTCCAGTTGTTCATGGGAGATCAAAGGACCAATTCACAGTTATCTAGTATCCCAAGAGGCACTGCTTCCAGTTGGACCAGTTGTCCACCTGGACTCTGATGCCTTCTTCCATGCAGTGACAGCCTGGGCAGCAGAAGCGCAACTGGTGACTAGGGAGGTGAGCAAGGAGGGAAGGTGCCAAACTGCATACACAGCACACCACTCACACATGAGTGACGGTGTGGGGGGGAGGTGATGAATGTTCACATGGTGCACCATGGGCTGCTACCCAGCACTGACAGGGAAGCTCCTGGGCCATCAAGGATGGCTGCTTCCTCACTGCCTCCCCCACACCCAGTAGTGCTGCTTGATGGTAGCCAAGGGCAAGTCAGGATGGGGGTACGTGAGCTGTGGGCTGTGTATGTGAGCTGGTGGGGGGTGTGCTCTGCGTGTACATGTGCTGTACTGGGCTGGGCTGGTGGGTGTGGGTTGCAGCTAGAGCTGGCAAACAGGGCAGGCATAGAGCAGACTTGTCAGGTCCTAGCCACACCCGCACTCGCCAACCCTCTAGCACTAGCTTAGAGTTGTGCATCTTACAGAGGGTATTAACCCCAAACATATCATTGCTAGTGGCAGCAGGGGCTAATTGTAATGTGTAAACATGCTCTTCCACTCTGGAACGAGTACACAAATTTTATCTTGCAACCTGAAGCAAAACACAGCTGCCAGCTGAAATTGTACTACATGCTTTAAAAAAGGTTTTTATTTACATTCATACAATAGATGGATCAAGATGAACTCTTCAGGGAATAGCAAACCATATAACTGACCTGATGTTCCAGTAACTGCACTGCTATTACTCTGGGGTCTCTCCAAGTCGATCAGCAGTTCATCAGAGTCATTTTCACTAACATTAGCCTTTTCATGCTCCTTCTCACTAAGGTCAAGAGCTACAATAGGCCCTCGAATTGCCTCTTTTGAGACATAGCAGCATGCCAGGCCCACTTCTTGCTCTAAGGCAGTGCGAGTTAAAAAGCTTGAGTCAATTAGTCGTAGGTCACAGTATTTCAATGACCTAGAAAACCAAACCCAAGAAACAGGATGTTTTATGGTGCTCTGGATTGTAAAGAGTTACTTTCACTATTAAATTCAAATTGTTAAGAGAACATCTATTAGCAATTCTATCAGTAGAAATTAAATTAGTTTAGCCCATGAACTATGGTCCTTCATACTTGGTACAGTTCAATTAACTGCACGATGTCTAAACCATTTCAATCAATTTACTTTTTACATGCACATTTTTATACAGCTGAGAAAAGCTGTACCCAAAGGAAGGCTTCAAAAATCTCTCAGAAATTTGCACAAAATCTCCATGTTGTATCAGCATCTCTGACAGCTTTACATTTACTCTGATAACCATTACAACGTCTAAAAACAACATTTATATTGCAGTAGTTCAAATGGTACCTGGGGAAAGTTTCTCCTAGAGGGTCTTTGCCAGTTAGGATAACAATGCAAGGTAGACCTTCTAAATCCTGGTAGGTATGAGGAACCCAGTCATCCTGTTCACTGCCTCTCCAAGCCTGTGAAGAGAAAATGTCCAGACAAGCATGGATTCTATATTTTTATTTTTAACTTGATTTTAACTTTTACAATTCTATTTTTTTCCTCTGCACATGGTTCAGTATATCAACACCCAACAGGGAAGGTAACCTATGGACTAGCATGCATTTTTCCAGGTACCCAAATACTAGGCAAACAATAAATGCGTAATAAGGTGCATGTTTTTGGGTTAGTAATGTACAAGTGGCTGAGATATTCGTAATGAATCAGTAGACATCTTTGGGTATTATCCACACTCCCTCCACCCTTTCATGCAACAGGGCACAATGATCCCAGTGGAGCACAGCTGTATTGTTAGGTACAGCTCCTTAAAAATCTTGCTACACCTTGAGCAGGAGAATCTAACTGACTTCACTGCACTTTTATCCCCCTTACCGCCCACCCCTCTTGAAGAGGCAGGCAGGTTTAAATCACAGAACATCCTTTTAAAAAAGAAAGTCTCTCTCACAGTGGAAAGTAAAATAGAAGGCCTTATTGCTTTCTGAATTAACACCTATTAGTAGTTCAGAATATTATTGTATTTGAAGAATCTGCCTCACCTTAAATAATGAACAAGAATCAATTGTGGATTATATTCCCATACTTCAGCCTTGCAAAACTCTCAGGGAAATTTACCATCTGAGGCACAAAATCTACTTTGCCATCTGAATCATGAATATGATTATAAAAAAAACCAAACCTTAACAGGTTTTAATTGCTCATTGAAGATATGAGAATGTGCTACTATTCTGGAGGGAGAAGACTGGCAAAAATATGAAAATACCTGAAGAAGTGTGTTTGTACCAGAAAGCTTGCAAGAACAATTTTTCCAACTATTTAGTCAGTCTAATAAAAGATATCACATTTACCCAAAGAAACTTGTCATAATATAACCTGCACATATGTGTCTTCACAGATTACTTAGATTTGTGCAACCTCTGTGACAAACGTGTAAAGCCAGGAAGAACAATTCAATGTTGTTTTTATCTCAGCTTGTCAATTCTCCACCTGTGTGCTCTATTTTCTCTCTCTCCTCTCCTACACCTCAGAAAGGTCACATTATGAGTCATTTCTTCTCAGGCAAAGGAACAGGCTTGAAAAGGAAGACTCAGCAGCAGATCAGTGACTCAATATGCTGTTCTATATTTAAAAATTTCCACTGTGAAAAACCAAATGACTATTTATCTCTTGGGCTTACAGGTAGCACTTAATCTCTTCTGCTATACACTAGACAAGGGGCGGGCAGTTTATTTGGGCCCAAGAGTCACATAGGGAGTTTTGCGGAGCTGTTGTGCACTGGGTCAGCACCTGCTTCCCCACCCCCAACTCACCAAAACTCCCTTTGTGGGAGGGGGCTGTGGGCAGGTGGGGAGCAGCATTCAGGAGCAGGATGGGCAGGCGAAGCTGGGATCATGGGGCTAGGTCAAGGGCCAGTGACAGTACAAGGCTGTGTCCCAGAGCAGAACCACACATCCCTGCGACTGGTGTGGGTTCAGTGGGCAGGGGCATGCAGGGAGCAGATCGTGGCTGTCCTAGCCCTGGCCCCGCACTGTGATTGCCCCAAGATCCTGAACCCGGCTCCAGATGCAGCTCCCTGTGCAGCTCCCAGCAGGTTTTCATGGAGAGCCCGGGATCACGGCACAGTGACAGTGTGGGGCCAGGGCAGAGAGGCAATGGGCTCCTCACACATCCCTGCCCTCAGAACCAGGGTACTGTCCTGGTTCCAGCCCTGTGCTGTCACAGCCCCATGATCACAGGGCACACAGCTGGGGGATATTTGCATCCAGGTCTGGGGCAGAGGCCAGGGTCTTGGGGTAGTGACAGCGCAGAGCCAGGCCTGGACAAAGCCTCAATCTGCTCCCTGCATGCCCCTGCCCATGGAATCTGCACCTGTTGCAGGGACGTCCAGGCAGCGGATCACGGCTCTGCCCCAGGACCCAGCCCCATGCTGTCACTGCCCCAAGATGCTGGGGTCTCCCTGGCCCTGGACACCTATCTCACTCTTAGACACTGCTCCCCACCACCAGGGCAGCCAGGAAATGGAATTGGCTGACAGTCCACTCCAGCCCCACTGTGCGCCTAGGGACAACAAGGCCAGCTGCATATGCCACAGCCTGGGTGGCCCCCGTGACTAGGCCAGACAGGGCCAAGGGACCTGCTGTGGGTCAGGCAAAAATTGCTCCATGGGCCAGGTTTGGCACACAGGCATATTTTGCCCGCCCCTGCACTAACCCCTCACATATCAGGACCCCACAGAACAGTCCCCTGTTCAAAAAGAAAAAGGAACATAAAAATTAAACCCATTCACAGCAGTCTAAAAACACAATAAGAATAATCTTACAAAGTATGGTACAAAAAACCTGTACATCCAGAGGTTTATGCTTTTCTTGAATTTCTGGTGACCAAATTGGGAGTTAATATAATCTCAGTGTTAATATAAATGCTGTTCAAATAAGCAAGGGTCTACTGTAGCCCTATTTTATTTCCCCACCCAAACAGTTTACTGATTTCTGCAGCTTGTGTGTAGCAGATTTTTGGAAATAATGCAAATGGTTCTGACTGTCTTCTATCCTCAGCAGGTAGGTTCAGTTAGCAGGTCTGTACCACTTGCTCAGTAGAGTTAATCTGGACGCAAGAGGCCACATTCACATATCATCCAGAAGAGCATAAGCAACTTTGGACACTTTTGGTATGTACACTGCTGGGAACGGAGATGGGATTTTGGTGCATAATTGTGAGCATGTGTGCATGTTTCAGTGCTGATAGGTTTTTTCCCCCCTGCATCTGATGTGAAATATGAAAACAAATGTTGGACCTGAAGAGAAGATATTATGTCTTATCTTGTGTGGGAAAGTTGAGAACAGCTAGCTTAGGGGTTTTTCAATCTCTACTTGATTATGGTTTGTTTTTTTTCACAGCTTCAAGGATTCCCTGCTGTCTTAGTGGGTTTGATACCAATCCCAACTCTAGCCCCTGCTGCTGTCCTGGCAATGTTACAGGGGGCACAAATGTTTAACGAGAGTCCAGTGAAAAATTACCACAGCATGATTATAGCCCAGGATCACTCTTACAAGCCCAGAAACAGCCTATAGGAAATAGCTTCATGTAAGCAAGCTCCTTGGGAAGCAGCTCTTTGGCACCCCCCTCCCCCACTCTCAGCATATCTGCAGTAGTATAACAAGGGGAAAGGGGTGTGAGGCCTGTGCCCTGTTCACTGCCCACATGACCCTATCTCCAGATATGGTAGTGGGCAAGGAGCTGCACCTCCCATGACAAAACTCGGCGGCAGAAAGAGGTGGGGGGAAGGTAATTTTATTCCACTCAACCCCTCCTGTCTGAACAGGACACAGGGCTGCCAGCTTCTGTGGCTGGGCGGTGTGTGTCTGCACCTGCCATAGCGGAGACACCCAGATTCCCAGGGGGAAGTAGTATCCTGGCAGCCAGAATACCCTCTTGCAGCCAGGGTGCAGTGAGTCTGCTCCGTACCTGCAGCAGCAGTTGCCACCAGAGTATGGGGCGAGCAGGGGCAGGTAAGACTCTGCCCTGCACCCCTCCCCCTCTCCAGTGGCTGCACTCTGCAGAAGGTACTTCAAGGGCTTGCTACATCTCCACGTGCCCTAGGGACATGCTCTGAGAAGTAATGGCTGGGAATGTCCCCTGCACTTTTCCTGTGCTAAGTACACCTTGGTCAAAATGAAGGATATGGCCCATGGGCTCCAATTTGTACATCACTGTGCATCTCATAAAATGGGTGCAGATAGGATAACTAGTCAGAAAACAACCCTCCGAGCGCTGCTAACTACAGACCAGGTAACCCAGAAAATGCCCTTCCACTATCACCAACTGTTCCAGGAAAAACAGTCTGTTTCCAGTAGTTTTGATATCCAGTAGTTTCACTAATGCTGGCAAGCTCACTGCAGGAGACAGCCTTGGCTAAGAATGTCATGCACTAGCAAAGCCATACTTGCTAAAGCCATCAAAGTTCTAATCAAAATGTTCAGCATGGCACAGATCAGTTGTGAAGAGGAGGCCTTCATCATGCATTGGACTGAAAGGAGATGTAGTCCTATGCCAGGAGAATACTTTACCAGCTATCAGGACAGCAGAAGACAAACTAGACAGACACAGATGAAACAGAATTAGTTCACCTGGTGAGAAGCAAGATGTGCTCTCAAAGATTCAAGAAAGTAACCTATCAGGAATTTAACAAAGATTATTTCATGCTGGTGTTTAGTTTTGCACGCAAGATAACATGCTGCACTTAGGTTAACAATGCCAAATTATTGTTCTGACCCTTAAAGTGATTACAAAAATATACTATACCTGCACAGTGAGAACTGTTAATTATGCCCCTTTTTCTACATAAGGATTAACATACAAACCCATAAGATCTGTAGACAGGCACACAAGATCTGTACGTTTACACAGGTATTGTAGTTGGATGCAGAAACATTCGACTGCTGCTAACCTTTAACCGTGTCACAAAGTGCTTGGCAACCAAGAGCTCCGAAGCAGGATTCCCAAGAAGGATCTCAAAACGATACTGCAGACCCAATTTGTCTCGCACTTCTTGCAATCTCTCTTTTGCCAACATTGCCAGCTGCAAGGAGGGAACTCTAATAATAAGCATGTGGCCACAACCATTTTTATCCTTTCCTGGTGAAGTGATGAGATCATCCATGATGCTGAGGGTCTCAGGTGTACTGTGGTCTCTAAGTGAAGCCATGGTTGTGAGGGCGATCAAAGCTTGTGAATACTGCTGAATGAGAAGGTAGCAACGAATCACCATGCTATGCAGCCTGGGGTACCTTTAAAGAAATACAGTTACACATTAGTGGATATGTTAAATAAAATCATCAGATGAAGATCTGGAAATAAGTAAGCCCAGATGGCAAAAGAGGAGCTCATTTTCTGTGTAGTGCATGGAAACTGAATTTCTCAACTTCTGCTTGAGGTTGGATGCATCAAATAGAGTTTTACATAGGTAAGCACAGCACTGTACAAGTAGACAAGATTTTGAATGAAGACCTGGCCATACTGAAATAAATAGACTTAAGAGGGATCAGGATTTCACCCATAGTTTTTACTGCAGGAGGTCAATCCAACTTGAACAGAGTAAGCACCAGCACAGATGCATACAATACAGGTGGATGAGTCCATTTCTCATATCTGCCCCAGGTTTTTTTCCTTCTATCAACTTGAAGGACCATCACTGGAAAATTGTATGCAAGGAGCAAGTTTTAAGGCAGGCTATAAAAGTACATCGCTCACCCAAATCATCAAGTTGTACTTACCAATGTACTAATACAGGATTTCAACAAGTTGAATCAACAATTCAGCTTTTTGGCTATCCAGCCCTGTATATTTTTGGGAGGCTAAATTTAATGACAGTGGATCTGAATAAATGGGACTATATATTAAGTAAATGCGAAAATAGGGGTGCACCAATAAAGATTTTCTTGGCTGATACCAATGGCCAATGATTAACCAGCCATATTTGCCAACACCAATCTGATAGCCAATTTACAGGAATGCAGCTTGGAGAGCAGCGTCCAGCCAATAAGTCTGTGGTGGGGGGGAATAAAAAGGGGCATGGGGAGGGCAGACTGAGGCCCCCACAGTGAGGGAGGGAGTGAGGCAGAGGCATGGGCATGGGCAAGGGCAGGGGCAGGGACTGGCAGTAAATGTGACCCCACCAGGAGCATGATGGAGCCATGGGCAGCTACCATCTGCTACTGCACTCACCCCTGGGGGAGGTGTGGGGGGCATGTACCCCCCCTGGATTTGTGTGAAGCAGGTGGGGCTGAGGCTGCACGAGGCTGCACTCCGGGTCAGCAGTGGAAGGCTCTGGGAGAGGAGGCTATGCCCTCCTGACGCTTGTCCAGCCAGGGTGAAGCAGAGCTGCTGCACTGCCTCTGGACAAGTGGTGCGCAGTGGCTAGAGCTGCTGCGGCCTCCCCGCACCACCCTGCCCTGGCTGGGTGAGTGGTGGCAGGGCATGGGGGGGACCCACACATGGATGTGTGCCCCTAAATTTGTGCGGGGTGGGTGGGGCGGGGGCTGCTCCAAGCTGTGCTCCGAGCAGATGGCAGGGGCTATGGAGAATTTTAGGGTGGCTGCAGCCCTCCCATAGCCTCCACTCCACCACCTGCCCCACCCTGATCCGGGGGCACACTCCCTCCCCCCCATGCCCTACCGCTGCTGCTCGCCCAACCGGGGCAGGGCAGGGTGAGGCAAAGACGCAGCTCATCCAGGAGGCATAGGGAGACCGGGGTGGCTCGGGGCTGCTGCG